AAAAAAGTTCCTTCTTAGAGTCTTTTTAAAGGTCTTCCCTTTTCAAAGTTTACTTTCAACTGCCTGCTTTTTCCCTGCTTCCTTTTTCCCTTGTCAGTGCTGAAACAAATTACCTCTCTCAAAATAAACCACCAGTTGCCAAGATTGAGAAACTGTTTCTCCTTCGAAATCACAGGTACCTTTAAACCCTGACGCACCAGCTGCCAGCTCTTCATACGCACATTCTATCTGGGTCACAAAAATAACACCCATCGCATCAACTTTCATTGGTTGGAGCTTAAATGGCCCTGGCTGCCAACAAGAGACATGCGTGCAAAATGGATAGGGTCCCAATTCCCCAGGCCCAACCCCTGATTTCAAAGTTCCCTACCTGCAGCCATCATGAGTAAGCATAGTACCTGTCTAACTTCTAACACCTTGGGCCATTAAATAGGTTGAAATCGGTGCCCAGTACCCAGAGAGAGCCTGTTGGTTATTGCTATCCATGTTCCAGACAGGTGAGGTGATATATGGGTTCCCCATGCACAAAGGTCAGGCCCCAAATTAATGGCTCCAAGGCTGCCCCTAAGCATGGATCACACTATGGGTAATTGTATTATCTAACAAAAATCTCTTTACCTCACATTTTCATGGTAACAACTGAAGGAAGGGCATTTAACTTAACTTGTTCATCTCCCTACATGAATGGGTATGAGGTATGTAATTAAGCATTCCAGCCAGCACCATACAAACAGCCTGTTTACACCCACACTGGTGCTGGGCTGGTACATTACCTATTGTTTTAAATCTGTGAATCACTCACTGAATCCATTTCAAGGGGACTTTTTGCCAATTAGAACATACTTTCCTCATGAACACTTGCCAAAGAAAGGGAGTAGTAAACAGTCCTGAACAACCAAGTACAATGCCATTTGATGACGTTGTTGTAAAACCAAACCCTATGATATTTGAAAATTCAGTTCTATAAAGCAGAAAAATAAATGGATTCATGTGCGCTTTGAAGGAGGCAGGTATAACTAAAACTGACAAGAAGGACTGCTCACTTTGCCTGGTATCACAATAAACTTCAAAAACTTCTGTTGGGAACCTCACCTGTTTCTATACAACAGGAAAACAACTTAATGGGAAAAATCACTTCAGGCGAAACCTGTCCATTAAACTCACCCTGCTCTTTGGTTTTTGATGGTATTTTAAGACTCCCAATGAGTGGGCAACTGCAAATGCACCGTGACTTGTAAAAAAGAACCTGCCCCATCATACTGAAGGCTCACTCAGAATAGCTAAATATAATCAGTTAACCCAAGGATTGCTCTTAAAATGCTGCCCAAGGCTGTGGTTTCACCTATGGTTCCTGGTGTGTGTGACAGATATGAGGACAGTTCATACTGTGTACTATTAGGGTGGCTTATAGGAGCCTTCCTAGATTTCCCTTGTAATAACAGCTTTATTATATTTTATATTTTATATTTTTTTCCCTTTATTTTCACTTTCCTAGCAAGGTTAATTTCAACCTTCCTATATTTCCCTTACAATAACAGCTTTATTATACACCATCTTTTTTCCTTTATCTTCACTTTATGAGAGAGAGAGAGAGAGAGAGAAAGAGAGAACAATGCAAAGTATAAATAATACTAAAAAAAACTCAATTACATAATACACAGCTCCACCCAAAGCTATAAAGAATTGTATATGGCATGTCACTGCTGTGGCTAACCCAGCACCCACAGTGAATGACCAAGTATCAAGATGGGGTGCTCACCACATTATCATAGCATTAATATATTGGTTACCCACCAAGGCTTACCAGAAACCCCTACTAAAATGTTCCAATTAAATGTGCAATCACCATTTACCAGTTAAACATAGAACGCATTCAGATTTATACATCGCACTAGCTGGGTCGTTCTCCTCTAGAGTTGGACCAATCCAGCAAGCACAATTTGAGAATTTGAATGCGCCTTTACTTAGGCAATCCACTGCACTCTTGCAAAATAAAGAACACTTCTTGTACTGGTCAGACATATATTTTATCATAAACCTATGATGGCTTGGCTAAGAGTTATTAAATTCTCTTAAGCCCCTAGCAGTATCAGAAGTTTGCCAAATTTTAGACATGCATCCTAAAAACTTAAGTCAGATGTTCTTTTTTTCATTAAAAATAAATACAGTGGACCTGACTTTATGGTAAAATAATTTTTCTCTTTGTTTTGTTATTAGTAGATTATCTCTCAAAACACTGAGATGAATTAATTTCGTTGAGAGTGGTCCAATAGTTGCAGAATGATGTGTTTTCCTGTGTAAATCACCCTATAGCAACCTAGTGATGACATCAATGGTTGTTAATTGATATTGTCGAGCAGTCTCAATTCCCCACAATGAAACAGATATGACCAATTACTTATGGTGTTGTTCATCTAAACTTGTGGTTCTGATACAAAAATCCATTTCGCATCCAATCAATACTTGTACTTTAAAACAGACAGTGACCGAGGCTGTATTGATCTGAAAATCTAGTCATATGATTAACAAATGATCACTTGTTTACTTGCATGTGTGCTAAAAAATGGCCTTGAATTGGGGGTAATGTTGTCATATCCAATTAAAAATGACTCCTCAGATTTGGAATGAAGCTGTCAAAAATGTAACCATGGACTGTTTCAAACAAAATATTCATCAAATTAAAGCTTTAGCATCAAGGCTCTGAGGTCTTAGGAAATCTGTACAAGTTCCTAGGACCACCTTTACCATTTTAAAATTGAGCACAAATTTGTTGTACTTAAGACTCATTCTGCATTATGGCACACATAAATATTATAAAATCATGGTGAAAAAATCAACAAATAAAACAATACAACAAAGATGTGTAAATTATAAATAGTCCCTGACCCAATTCCATGATTTATTTACTTATTTATTATTAATCATAATTCCCTATTTTAAGGCACACTATGTGAACTAGTTGTGATCTGCAGCATGTATACATTTGTCCTACATTTAGTCTAAGGACATCAGATGGAAGAGGGGTTTACTCTTCACATGACCCATAGCATTAAGGTCATAACTTTCATGGGTGCTGACCTGCCTTCATTTTCAGGACATTTTTGATCATCATCTTAACCCTCACCTTATCTGAAAACCAAGCTTATTATTTGTTGGTACCTCTACCTTTATTAAGATCTGGGCCGCCATACGTGTAATTCACCAAACAGACAGCACTGATAATAAATTTTCAGATATGCCCCAAGGTTAGCTGCCAAATGATACACTGTTTTACAATAAAATTTCAATGTTTATTCAAATATTCTTACTATCAATGTGTGTACCTGTGTGCAGGCATGTGTATCATTTCATCTAACTTATAAATCTTCAACAAGATTCAAAATTGCATGGACAGTTGGATAAAAGGTAAACCATCTATGATTTATAAATGTGTTAAAGTTAAAATGAAAGCAATAAAACTTTTAGAAAATTTCACTGCTTTTTCAATTTTCTTACCCCTTCTTCCTGTATCAGAGTTTACTTGATTTGATATCAGAAGTAACCTCTGGGCAACTATATGACTATGGTGAGCCTGTTGTCTTTTCAACGCTTCGTAATAATTTCCGCCAAATTTACCAGCACTACGCTCAAAAATGTCCATTTTTCTTCTCAGCAACACATTAACAAGTTGTGCTTGTTCCCTCTTCACAAGTTGAGTCCCGGTTCTCTTTTGTACGGCAGTGGTAATCTTGCCCACAATGCAATCTGTGGACAAACCACTGTTTGAATGTTGTTCCAGGAAATGCATGTAATACCCAATATGATGATGGGAATGTGCAATTTCCACAACTCTCGTCAGGTGGTATTCTCTCCTGCACAGTTTCTTTTGTATCCTCGTAACAGATGAAATATGTGGCTGCGAAAATCTAATCAATTTTAGTGCTACACAAATGGCTGTTTTAGTTTGCTCAATATTTCAACTTTAGGCTGGCACCTGGTGAGTAAATGAAGTGCACTCAAGATGAAATATGAAATCCAATTTAAGTTCCCTCTTTAATACTTGGCACTAACAACTGCTTTAGTCTACTACAGTGATGAATCACAGAAAATACGTGTCCCTACTTGGCTAAATGTTCAACCTGATCTGCCTAGGAGTGTAGAAGATCAATCAATTTAAAAAAGACTTTTCTTTGTTTGTTTACATCCCATCCCACCTCACTGGCTAACTTGTTTATATTGACTTCATTTTGTAAATACCAATGTCAGAGCCAGACACCTTCAATCCATCATTATGACATCACTACAACAAATTTGGGTCCAAAATGACCTCTACTATAATCTTTTAGTAACTTATAATCTTTCAGTGACTTTCATTAGCAATGC